CTGAACGCTCTATCATCTTGATGAAGAAGGCCATCGATAAGCACCTACATGTAAACAAAAACAGTAAAGCGAGGCATTTTCGGTTGATTCACGATATTATGGCACTAAACCTAGATATCACAGATAATATGGCTTTAAGGTTCGACTATGTTTCAAGTTTACCCTGCAGAATGTTTTCTTTCATTTTTTAATGTTTCTCAGTTTTCTGAACTCATTAAATGTTGTTTGAAGAGAAATTATTTTTCCCAATTTTCAATATCTAGTCATAGAGTCCATGTTCAATTCAAAGAAAGCATGAAATATGCTTCGGCTAACAAGTTTATATTAGAGGGTTGAATGGGTTTAAAAATCCTTTGCAAATTTTAGTTTCTAGTGGCATGCGTCATCGAATCGTTACAAATTGTTGTTCATCCACGAGACGAGGCCGAGTGAATACGCAACAATTTTGACAATGAGATCATATATGTATATTCACACATCATATATTTTGTACCACAAAAAAATATTCTACAATTAAACCACAACCCCGGCCCAGAAAAAAGAACAATATTTTGACCCTGGTATATAATGTAAAATTAGAGATTTTACTGCAATTCTGATCTATGAATGACTTAACTAACAATTGATAACCGTTYATTGCAGATCATATATCATACTGCAATGAATCACGTGAMCATCATCGCGATCATCATTTTGGTTATTCCTGTCTCGRGTAAGCAGCCGCTGTTCATTGGTGGATTTTTCCCTATGTCATCAATGARCAATGGTCCCGACTGGACGGGGGGAAATGGGATCCAACCAGCTGCTGAAATTGCCATTGAACACGTAAACRATCGTGGTGTTCTTCGAGACTATGAGCTTAAAATGGACTGGAATGACACTAAAGTAAGATAACCTCATTCTTTCAATTTTGTATCCTTTTCTTGCAATAGCAAGTAGAAAATGATTGACAGTCCAATCCAAACGCATGTTTGCAAATCCAGTAATAACCAAGCGTTTTTCTAACACTAATTATGGCATCTATGTCTAGATTTAAATAGCAGTTCATGCAAATATGTTCACATATTTACCAAAATTGTAGAAATATCAGCCAGATACACTTCCTGTTTCGCCAGTCAGAGTCAGTCTCTATGGTTGCGCCAGCAATTTTTACATTTCAAAATAATAATGAATAAAATATTACGAAGCAGCATTAGGATTATAAAGTTAGTATAAGTTAAACAAGTAAAAAGCGCTTATGGCAAGAGGGATCTGACGCTGCGGCCTCTAGTAGCTTCTGGTGTCAAATTCAACAAAAGATTGAGTTACGTAATACCGGATGTGACGCATGATGCTTCAATAAGACTACATTGAACATCGTGATATGCTAATCGGTTTCGATTCCTAAGTTGTGGTTTTTAATTCACTCATTGGGGACAAAAGAAAACAGAAACCTTTTCGACTACTTAGTTCTGTGTTGTCAGACGATTTTTCCGCGGGAGCTTTAGAAACTAAAGCTAACTAGGTATCTAAGGTAACTAAGGTAACTAAGGTAACTAAGGTAACTAAGGTAACTAAGGCAGATCCGTGCGTATTTAGTGCTCTCCGAAACTCGGCTATTCATTTTTTCCTGAAAATACTTCTTTTAAATTTTGGAAGTGTAACCAGAAAACCCAAAGCTCGAAAATCGTCGTTTTTGACTTCCTCGAAGACCCTGTTCCAGCGGTTTAAAGTTTATTTGTTATCTGATCATGTTCTTACAGGGCTCGCAGGGCTGGACTGAGCATTTGTTATTCAAATTCATCTCCACACCACCACGGAAAGTCATGTTTCTTGGTGCTGGATACTCTAAGTGCAGCACTGTGATGGCGGCTATGGCAGGGTTGAAACCATGGAGAATACCTCAGGTACATCTTTTAATCCTAACCGATTAACTAATTAATTAAAATACTTAATTAATTAAAATACTTAAAGATATGCAGTGCATCTTTCTGTCAGAAAAGCAAAAGTATGTTTTTGTTTCCAGTTGGAAATGCAACATTTTACTTTATATAGAGAGTTATTTAATAACTTTTATTGAAGAGATACTACACTGGTTTGCAATTGATTAGCCTGTTAATCGGCTAGGAGAGAGTGGGAAAACAGGGTCCCATCTAGGCGTCACCTTTTGAGAACTAGTCACTGAAAATGGTCGCGGACAGAGTATGCCAGTATGCCTCGATAATTTACTTGTAGTTCAGATATAGCTAGAGAAGTTTAGAGATACTTTCAATTGTAATGAAATCTTTTTTTTTAAGTGCTAACCGCTTAAGTTCTTTATTCTCATCCTCCATCTCCTATGGTCCTAAAACTGCAGAGGCATYCAATAATGAGCAAGTGCCGTACTTTCATACTTGTATACTACAATCGTTGCCAAAATTGTTGGAGCGTTTGGACATTTATTTGCGTTTCACACTACGCAAGATTAAATGATTGCATGACTTCTTAAACCCCCTCCCCCTCTCAATGTTGCCTGTTCCTTGCGAGTCTCCATGCATTTGAAAGCYACCTCATCAAACATCATTACTATAGCAACATTGATTTTAAGGGGGACCGGGGGATTATTGAAAAGATATAACAGGAGTGGAAGCTATATCATTTACGTCGTCTCTTATAGTCGTTCCAAGYAATTATGRCAAAGATTGTAKCGTCAATAAAATACAGATWMATTTGTAATCAGGATTGTTCCCTTTCTGCGCCAGCAATTTAAGAACTAATTTGTGCAGYCTTTTTAACAGCAAGATTGGAAAGATAAACACAGAACTTATCATTTGCTATCGATCTTGTTTTTCAGATCTCCTACTCATCAACTTCACCACAACTCTCTGATAAAACAATTTACCCTTACTTCTATCGTACAATACCTGATGACACGTCATTCAACAAGCCCCGCATCACGTTACTCCAAACTTATAATTGGACCAATGTAGCTATTTTATATCATGATGTAGGCATTCACAGAGCCGTAAGTTGTAAAAACTGATAGAGATAAGATTTCAAAATTTGGCTAGTATGACCCTACTACAACAAAGTTCACTTCCAGAGCCACACCCATCCTTTCTCTATTAAGACTACTCATTTAAATTTCAAACAAAACTAAAATCATACCAATGAACAAGAACTATATAACTCGAAAAATTCCTCTGACTGCCAAATTGGACTCGGCCACGGCCTCGTCCAATTTTTGGCAGTCCTCGGAATTTTCCTCGTCCAATTATTTCTTAATTGGACAGCATGGAGTCCTATTACATATAAAAATACTAATCCAAATGTGATCCAGAAATGCGGCAATAGACGTCTGAAACTTTTACGTCATGTACCGTATATGCAATGCATTGAAGGATATTTTTGGGGCAAAACATGGCGGATTTCTATTGTTTTCTCTAGAAACTGATACCACAATGCATTGAAAATCAATGAGTCTATTCTTAAGACGACTCTGCTTTGGTGTTTGGTTTGAAATGGGACTAATTAATGCTATTTCTGTTTATATTTTTGATTTGTTTGATTTTCAAGGCGGTTGAGCATTTGCAGGAGGAAATGAAGAAAGAGGGGATTCATGAAATAGCTGTCGAAGGATTCCGTGACAGTGCTAGCTCACACATGGCTAGCTTAAAGGTAAATTRAGGATTGTTTGGATACCTGTATAGTATTACCTATACTTACTACTTTCCTWCCGCTGTACAGATTTGATAATTATATAATGGCGATGGTACCGAACTCATTCTTTTATAGTTACATACCAACTATGAAGAAAACATCAAGTTGCTTTGTTTTAGCAGCAAATCGTTTTCATGTTGGGTATTCAAATATGTTTTTGGCAAAGTGAAATATCCCTACGACCAATAGCCAGTGTCCGGCAACCATTCTTAAAATCGTTGTATATGGGAGACGTGATGGCCCAGTGTCTATCTAAGGTATCGGATGTGGAGGCCTGGGTTCGATTCTCAGAACAGGCCGATTACGTTTTCGCCTTGGACAAGCCACTTTCCTCTCCCAGTTCCTTGACTTCTCAGAAAAGTTTACTATGCTTTACAAAGCATGAAGTGCCTAAAAATAATATTTCAATTAATAAGGTTCACGTGTTTTGTATTTTTGATTTGCATTGTTTATCTTTCGTGATCATAGAAAAAAGATGCTAGAATAATCTTTGGAAATTTTTTTGGTCAAGGAGCACGTCGTGTCTTTTGCGAGGTAACAGCAACATTTGTATTATTTATTGAAAGAGCCGATATATGCAGAAATTATGATCATTTTGACTCCTACATCAGAAATTATGAGCACTTTCTGAAAAAAGTATTGGCGATCATATCCCATAGCTTCTGATATATATTTTATATATTTTGTAATATATACAATATGAGCGGGCGATCTGTATGAGGATTTAAAACAGCGAGCTGAAAGCGAGCTGTTTTAAATCCTCATACAGATCGCACGCGAATATTGTATATTACTTATGAAACGTTAAGGTAAATTAGCTCAGGTTTTAAAGAAACTTTTGAAAACAAATTCAACCTRACTGAGAAAATCAGAGTAAAAGTTTATGCAAATGAACAAGAAATCTGTATGTAATATACAACTCTCTTCATGGGCTATGATTTCTATTGTGTTTTGCCTTATGAATATTAATGAGTTTTATAATTATATATACAGCTGTTTGCAATAATTCTGACCCCCTCTGCCATATTTCATATATATCAAACTGACCTTAAATATTATGGGATATCATGACTAATATATTTTTTGAGTTGCCCAGAATGAGTACTTTCTAAAAAAAATATCAGCAATGGTATCCCATAATTTCTAAGGCTACTTTGATATATATGAATATTAGTGTAGGGGGGTCAGAATTATTGCAAACAGCTGTAATTGAAATGAGTCAAAAAGATCATATAATTTCTACACTATTGCTGTAAATTAATTATATGGTGGAATAGTTTGAAACCAAATTGACACCACAAATTGTAACTTAATCCTGAGTTCTCTCAAATTGTAACTTCTTTTAACTGAAAAAAGTCAGATATTTACTATCTCAACAGGCATACAAGAGAGAAATGTACGGTCCGCGGTATCTTTGGCTTCTGCTTGGTTACATAGAGAAGAATTGGTGGCTAGAGAAAGACGATGCAATAGAATGCACCGCTGAGCAAATGCTTGCTGCTGCTAACTACCATCTTGCAACAGATTACTTATGGCAGGCCAGAGATAACTTRAAAACCGTCTCCGGAAAAGTAGGTATTAAATGACGCTATGGTTTAATATATATCTAGGATGTTGTGGGAAGTGCATAATAAAGGTCATAAAGATCTATGATAAAAATCACGAGTCGGTGTACATGATTTAGTGACTTGGCCAAGATGTGATCCAACGCATGCGAATGCAGGTGTTTTTCTGTGCTCTTTTAAAAAAGTGTCTGTGACTGGAGCATCCGCTCAAGATAGCAAAAATAAATAAATAATAAATAAAGTAAACTACAATAAAAACTAAATGTTCTTTACGGTTCAGTTTGTTACTAATTAATGCTGTTATTCTTAACGCAACATTTTCTGACCGAACCTACTAGAACCAACGCTCGAAATAGAAAGATAAAAAATAATCTCTCCAAAATTTTGTGAAAAGTTACGATATTACAGTGCAGTAAAATGTTGCTAGCCTGGGCAAATTTGTTCATCGTTTGGGCGCCTGCACGCACGCTTTAGCTTTGTAAGCTGCTGCAATGCTTTAAGAAAAGTAAATGCGTGTTCTACTTCGCGCATTACCTGATTGTAATACGATACGCGCAACAAACAGTTCCAAGATGACCCTTATTGATTTGTGTACATCTTCAGCAAATTGTTTCGCAACTCAAAAATTGCACAGTGTTGAGCTACCTTGACACAGATATCATCACCTGAGATACTTTTTAAGTGACCTTTTCCATCCTAACTTCACAGACAGTAAAGCAATTTTTTCAAGAATACAACAGCAGAGTCCCGGTGAAGCGACGGGACGACCACTCAAGTTATGCATACGACGCGGTCTGGGCCATGGCACTAGCACTCAATCGCACGCTAACAAAAATGCCTGAAATAAGACTGGACCAATTAGCCTATGGTCAAAATCAGACTATCGACTTACTGATCGAGGAACTTGACAACAGCAGTTTTACTGGAATTACAGTAAGTGAGGCCTAGTGCGGGACCTAAAATCGTCGTAATTTTGGGCGATTGTAGGCGATTTTAGGCGATTTAAGCAAAAATCACCAAAAACCCATCTAAATCTAAGGCGATTGTAGGCGATTTTGGGCGATTTTAGGTCCCAGGTTAGCCTAGTCCGGGACCTGAAATCGCCGTAATTTTTGGCGACTATAGGCGATTTTAGTCGATTTAAGCAAAAATCACCAAAAACCCATCTAAATCTAAGGCGATTTGGGGCGATTTGGGCGATTTGGGGCGATTTTGGGCGATTTTAGGCAATTTTAGGTCCCGGACTAGGCCTTAAGTGGCATATGACAGGCAAGTTGTTTTACTTTTTCTTAAAGTGTGAAAAGAAAATGCTTGCCTAACTTTTTTTTCTAGTCGTTAGTAAAAAAGCAACTCTTTAATGACTGCTACAAACTGTTATTTTTGGAATGAATGCTCTTTTGCGGTTTAATAAGAAAAAAATGTTTTAAAATTGTTCCTAAGAATTAACGATCTTGTACTCTTTAAAGGGACCAGTCGCGTTTACAGACAAGAGAAATCGCGCCGGAGACACACGSATAACGCAATTTATTGGTAAATATGAACGTTTTAAAATATATTTTCTATCAAGGATTTGTAAAGAAGGATCGAAGCTTTCACAAAAACAATAATTTTTAAATAAAGGACTCCCGTCACAGTTTTTATCCATTTTATTTAGAAAAAAGTTATTTTCTGTAACGTCCATTATTAAATATATTACACGACAGTGTAATATATTTAATAATGGACGTTACAGAAGAATCGAGATGAAAAATAAATTGAGTGACAACCGCTCGGTGTCATCTTGCATGATCTTCCTTTTATTGGTCGTGGTTCGTTAGTTGTAAATGAGCTGAACTACTCAGACATCAAGTCTTGTAGCCATTTTTCAGTTTTTCTTTGAGGGCTAGTGGGCTTATGGTTAGCACTTCGGTATCAAATAATCAAACAAATCATACTATTTTATTTCACAGGTGGGAAGCATATACAAGTTGGTCTTTATGTCAATAAACTAAAGAAGATTAACTGGACAGGCTACAATCCAATAGTATGGCAAGGTAACACATATCTATCTAAATTCCAACCAAAATGCTAGAGGTCCATTCACTAGTGAAATATATACGGTAGAGACAGCGTTTGAGAAAGCAGCATTTGTTCCTTTACCATGCGGAATCCCACTTACTTCACCAGTGGAAATTTTCGTATTTCAGTCACGAAGATACTTTTAGAGCACTCTTAGCATGTTTTATTGACAAAGATCCTTCTATGATTAGCTATTTAGAAGTGTATTAAACTAAAGTTTTATGTCCTAAAATAAGTATGTTTTAATATGCTCTAGGCGATTCTCCACCCGCTGATCGTATGCAGAGAATGTACAAAATACAATCGACATCATTAATCTTGTACGTCTTCATGATTGTCGTGTCTTCTCTGTGTATCATCGTCGCCCTGTTTTTCCTTTGGTTCAATACAAAACACAGGCAGATCCGCTTTATYAAAATGTCGAGTCCAAATCTAAACAACGTTATAATACTGGGTTGTATTGTCAACTATATATCYGTGGTGACGTTTGGATTAGACGGTGGMCTGGTAAACACTGGATATGATGTCATATGTGCAGTGAGTATTTTAACTATAGACTGATTTTAACTATAACAGACCATATTCCTTCACGGACTGCTAAAGACACTTCTGATCAGTCTATACTCTTTGTCGACAATTTCAAATCGAAGCAAATCACCTTGAACATTTATGAGTTGGCTTATTGACAAGATTTTTTTTTCAATACGACAATGGTTCTCATWGACAGATGTTGGTAGATTTGGTCTGTCCAAAGCTCAGTATGATATATTCTGGAGCCCAATTAAAGGAGGGGAGAGGGTATCATCATCCGTCATGCGGTGAAGCATGGCAGGCATGGGATTGGCCGTTACGAGAGGGAGTTAGAAAGATAGAGGGATGGTCATAAGGAGAGACTTGACCGGGGTGGAAAGAACGAGATTCGGAAAAAAGATATARATAGAAGAGGGGGACCATGGCCACCAACCACCAGCTAGTAATGGTGTAGACAAAGAAGAAGGAGGAGTGTTTCAAAGGGAGTGTGGTGTCGAGTAAACATCTTGGTTTACGCAACCTTATCGCAACTTTGTACAGAAAAAGCTATCCGGACAAGGTTTCCTTGTTATAATCYTTGTATTAATGAGATTTCTTGTTTCATAGAGCCGTGCTTGGGTGTTGTCTCTTGGGTTTAGTCTTGCTTATGGTGCGATGTTCTCCAAAACATGGCGKGTTCACACGATTTTCACCAACAGAAAACTGAAAGGAAAGGTAACATATTCCTTTAAAAAAAAAAACTTTAAAAGATGGAAAACTTTTTGAGAAAAAAAACATATTCAGATGAATATCTAGATCAGACGATATGGCATGCCAATCGTCTGCTATCAAAAGAATTTTATCCAAATAACTGTAAAAGAAACCCTTCCATCTGTAACTACTGTTGGTCCAAAGAACGAAACAAAAGCATTGGCATCCAATAGGAAGGGTTGGAGAGACATTGTGGATRCCTTTATATGCCTTCTTGCACAAGAAAGGTAATAAAGATAACAGACATGACGTCAAATCAGAAAAAAACTATTTTTCGTCAGCTCCCTAGGTAACTAGAATCCATTATTTTCCCTCCGGCCCGATGGACAGAGCAACATTCACACRTACATGTAACATATTAGAGCGTGGTGAAGAGGTTTCAGTAGCGGCATATTTTAATATTTTTCTATTTTAACTTACGTTATAGATCGTAAAGGACCACCATCTTTTTGCGGTTGTTTTCGCCCTTGTACTTATTGATGTCAGTTATCTAACAATATGGCAAGTCTTAGATCCACTGAGAAGATCACTCTATATTACAAAGAGAGACGTGAGTATCGGTACAATATAAACTATTATAAAACTTATTAATAATGCATAAGCTA